GCGCCGGGCGGGGGCTGCAGGGGATGGTGCCCAGCGCCCCCGGAGAGGGGCAGGCAGGCCCGGGGCCCAGCACAGCTCTGCCAGCAGCAGGGAAAGGAGCAGGGCTGCAAGCCCTGCCCCAGGCTGAGGGTGAGGGTGAGGCCGGTCCCACCCAGCTCCTCCGGCCCCTGCTGCCCCCACGCCCCCACAGCCCCAGCCCCAGCCCCAGCCCCAGAGGGAGCAGAGCGGGTGTCTGCTCCCAGGCAGACCCCCAGGAGCCGCGCTCCCTCCTTGCTCATCAGCCTGCCCGTGTTGTGGGAGCGGCCCGCAGGCCGAAGTCACTGTCCCGGCTCAGCGCGGCACGGAAGTGGGGCCGGGCGGGGGGACCCGGACGCCGGGACAGGACGAGGCTGTTTCCTGAGCAGGTGTCCAGGCTGCAGGCACCGCCCGGCCGCGCCAGCACCGGAGGAAACTACGAGGAAGCCAGCAGCGCGGGTGAGCAGCGGAGAAGCCTGCTCCAGGGGCTGGGACCGGCACATGCCCCGCGCCGTGTCCAGCAGGCCCAGCCCTGGCTGCACCCCAGCGCCCGGGTCTGGCAGGCGCAGCCCAGGGTCTCGGCCCCGCTGTGCAGCTGGGGAAGCAAGACGGAGGGGTCACAGCTGCAGCCGAGCTGGGGAAAGGAGGCAGGAGTCCGGCTCCCCCTCCCACGTCCTGCGAGAGCAGAGCCCCGAGCAGCCTGGGAACGCTGTCAGGTTTGGTGAGACAGAAGCAAAGGTTCCCGTGGCAACGGGGATGGAGCCAGGCTGCGGTGCGGCGCGTGGGCGCATCCCTGCCTGTGCTGCGACCGCGCGCCAAGTGCCGCAGCCCTCCGACCTCCCGGGGCCACGGCAGCCCCTCCCCAGCCGGCCCAGCGCAGTGCACGTGCCCCCGGTTCACACAGCCGCTAGCCAGGGCCTGCCACGATTCATAGGGTCATAGAAGTCGGGTTGGAAGGGACCTAACTAAGTAGGTCATTGAGTCTGACCCCCCGCCTGGGCAGGAGACAAAACTGGACTCAAATGACCCCAGCCAGGTAAACGTCGAGCCTCCTCCTCGCTGCACTGAAAACTGCAAGGTTCTCCACTTTCGGAGGAAAAACCTGCAGCATCCTTATAAGCTCGGCAGTGCTACGCTGGCTAGCATTGCGGAAGAAAGAGACTTGGGGGGTCATGACTGAGCACAAGATGAACGTGAGCCTGCAGTGCGATGCTGCGGCTAGTAAAGCGACCAAAACGCTGGCTTGCATCCATCGATGCTTCTCAAGCAAATCCCGGGACGTCATTCTCCCCTTGTAC